CTGTTGTTATCAGAAATCCAGAAATTGACCATCCAAAAACGACAGTTTCGATCTTTGCTCAACTCGTGACCAGGTTCACAAAATCCACGAATTACTGGGTAGCGCCCACGCGCATTTACACTTTATGTTGGAACTAAGCAGTAAAACAAACATATCTTGCGGCCAACCTGACTTGTCAGGTAAAAATATCATCATAGACCGGACAATACACGTTATTCAAAATTTTGTGTCCGTTGAACTCAAACGCCCAACTGTGCTGGTCCGTTTTTGTACCAGGCAGATGACAAAGCGGCTTTTGACCCATACACAGGCTTCCGCGTGGGTTTATTATACCCTCTTGGAATTGTACCGACCACGCCAAAACATTCGGCCTATATATGATTGCCAGTCAAGGTGACTAAGAACTCAGAGCTCTTTCGTCGATGAGATATCGCGAGGACGAAAACCATCAGTATTTACACACGTCATGTCAGAGGTGATTTACCACTTTAGTTGTGCCTGCAGATCAAAATAAATAAGCTGAACAACGAAGCATCTTGAAACACTCGCTCTAGAATGACCGTGCAGATGTAATCCTTGCTGTCCTAGAAGCACACCCTCTAGGTGCATGTTGGACACTGTTCTCGCATCTTTGCTTACTATTTTTATCCCCGAGCATACGCACATCACAGACACAGCCACTGTCAACCAATAAATTCTGCTTTGTGCATAGAGAGATAAATGAACAATCACAACAAGCGAGCTTTGGTCGCTGCCTATGTACTTCTCAGTAATGACTAACCTTGCTTAGACTGCCATCCGCTTGATCTTTTTTCCATTCCCATTTAAGCCAGACTGTGATAGTTTAATTCTTTGACTTTACTTTAGTTTACTTACACCTATGTTGCAGTTTTCGCGGTTTTCTCCCGGAATAAATATCATTTTCAGTTGGACAACTGCGATCACAACTTACCGTGGGGTCACAGAATCCACTGAATTTACTTGACCTCGCGTGGAATTTAAACGCTGTGTCCTCATTACTAAGCTATCTGTTTACGTAAACTATCTGATCATTCTTAATCAATTATGTTAACGTAATGTCTGAGGCATCACTCGAGTAAGCATTGAGCTGCGATCAAAATGTTATCCCGCCGAACTTCTTACATCGCTGATATGGCCGTTCTCGGATACAAAATTCAATTACGCCGAGGGTTAAGCTGATGATTGTGTATTGAAAAAACGCCGAATAGCTTGGCTTGCTTCAAAGACATAGATTATGATGTTTTCATCGTGTTCTTCCCAAAAAGGCCCATTATGTGACTAACCATATCATCTAGAGCTACGTCTCGCCGATTATTCGATTTCTCCGTGGTAGCAAATCTGCTTCAGTTCAACCAGACGGCTCATGAAGAAGAGGAGCCTAGGGAATCTGCTGAGCCGTGTTTGATTATGTGAATATCCGACACTGTCGGCCGGCAACCAATCATTGTAGCCAAAATCACGCGATGTAAAACCGCTAGTCCAAGGAGCACCTTCCCTTGTCACAGGGAGCAGCCCTCTGAGCTAAACAATATCACGTTGCGAATCGTCACCTTAGTCCTTTTGTAAAGCGATGGTATAATATTTCACAGCATCCTCCCGGTTGTGTTCAACTACGAATCTCCAATCTTTGAGTTAACATACTATCGGGAATTATTTCTACTGTAAGTGAAGCCATGCACAAGCGTGTCTGACAGACAACTCACCTTGGGGCAGACGGAAGCCCAAACTATAGCCGCGTGTGGTTTGCTTCTACTAGGACCTGGGTTGGATTATTGAGAACACAACCAAAAATCTGTGGCACGCGTTTAAAAATTGCTCCGCTTCTTGGTAGTTGTACTCAAATTCCCGATAATGGTTCGTTCCATCCCACGAGCAAACACGAGCCTGTTTTATTTACGCGGAGATTCCATGAGACAATCTATCATGGTAGGAAAAGATCCGCCTGGCTACGAAACCACTGACTGTATTCGAGGAAGCACACATTTTCCCAATTGTGTGTCTCTACTCCAGTAAATGTAATGTAAATGTGCACAAAAGTGACACATGGGTCACGGAAAACCCAACATCTAATAAATGTCAAACACTTGTATTCCAACACCCATAGAATGAGTTCCTTTTTTCAGCATACTTGTTGGCGTAGAATATCGGACCCTTGCCTCTATGCTCTTTGTTACAGAAGACAGAGAGACCACAAAACTTATCGTGATTTGCATGTAATGTACTTCATTTGCACATAACACCAACGCATAGAATCAGCCCACGAACATTTCTAAAAAACCCCATTTCACTTTCTCATGATCAGCAACAAAATCACTTAGCTGGATTGATATCGGGAGCGACTACTGATTAGGAAAAACATTGCTACGTGGAGTATTGCAATGTGTAGCAATTTTTGAGATCGCAGAAACGGCTTAGATGATTTGAGTGATGTGAATAGCTATCAACCAAATAGATGTAATCTATTCTTCTAATTATTCAAACGTTTTTGTTGAAGTAAAAGTAACATAGAAGGAAGTTATTGGGGTTCCTAATTGATTAAGCGTTCTTTGGTTCAAACACCAAAACTTGAAGGCTAATTCTTTCAAAATGGACTACAAACAGGATATCACGTGGATCAACTGAGACAACGTGGCTTCATTGTCTTACTTAGATAGTATAGGGGACTTTACTATCTGTTCATTAAGTGATTAGTGTAGCATTGAGGCGTGTGTCTCGCTCCACAACACGAGGGTATAGAGATCTTATCCACTTTTCTATTCACCAGTGTGCCCAGGAATAGTAAGTTTGTTATTTTTACCTTCGATTATAAATCTCGTATATTCATTTGAGACTTTGAACACTTCTTGCGTGTTTTGTACGAAGTTTCATTTCACGGTGATAAGAGTTTCCTTTAGATGGCAAATTGTTTGTTTGGAGTTGATGATTAACTGTACAGCATGCTGTATTTGCTGTACCACCGCTCCGGAGATAAAATTATGGGATCAGGAACGCTTTTACGATCCACTTCAGGCGTAATACATATCCGTGGATGCTGATATGTGACCACGTGCAAGTGATATATAGAAAGTTACGGGTGACCTTATCCCGCCACTCGCCCTCCGTCAAGAAGTAGTAAGTGTTTTATCTGCGCACACTCATAACCTCAAACTTAGCACAACCGGTATTCATCCAAGCAGCATGCGAAGAGTTATCGCGTGGCATGGCCTACGCAATTCGCTCCACGGGAGCAAGTAAGTAAGTAGGCAAAAAATTAGGCTGCTTATCTTGGCCGTTGGGACGTAGTTTCATGGACGAACCAATGAAAACAACAAACAAGTCGAAATTACTTTTCCACGTGAAAAGAGTTTGACAATGTGCCTGATAAGTTTTTACCGAATTATTAGTAATTGACGGCCCTGAAGAAGCAGGATGTAGTGAATCTCTATTCTAATGCACAAATGCTTCCAGTTTACTTCACCTATAACACGAAGCTGCGTTTTCAAATGAGAAGCACACAAATATAAAAAGCTCCACGTTATCAGTGCTTGCGTGCATTTCAGCTACACTGTATAACTTTTTGTATCAGGTTTGCCAGTCTCTGTGTTACCAAAGAATCACATGAATTGCACCCATTCAAAACAGACAAATATCCGCTTTCTGCAGCCTTTGGGCACACCGTCTGGTTTGGGCTGGGCTCCATATAAGTTAGTACTCAACTACTTTGGGTCTGACTTAGCGCAAAATCTCAAACTAATGAACACTACTTTGTGACATGATGTTCAGACATTCTGTCCGATTCCGTTCGGACATTCACAACCATATACATATGCCTGAAGAAAATCAAAGGTCACATCTAGTACGCAAAGGCTGACACCAAAATTCACATACTCGTCGAATCCTATGACAGTCGCTCGATTTTTGGCCCACGCATGAAAGACGAAAATTCATGGATTGAACGTCATAAGACAGTTTAGCAGACCGACAAGTTTCGGCAGATTTCCACATTGGTTAACAACATTACGAGGGCTGAACAAGATGAAAATACAAAGATCTATATCACAAAACTTGTAGGATGGATGAAGACTAAGAACAGTTAGTACTAACTACCAACAATTTCTAGCCCCGATATCTTATTGGATCATTCGGATTCAACAACCTTGAGTGTTTATTCCAATTGTCGTGTATATTTGCCAAACGAGGAATTTCCGGAAATCTATTCGTCAACTCAGCTGATGGTAGCATTAGATACTCGCACAAAATATGACAGCTGTGATACCTATTTGGTGTCTATCTGCTGTACAAGCCGTAGCACCCAAGAGGGATGAGATATTTTCGGCCTCGTTCAGCTGTAGCACCCTTTCGGTGCCCAACTACCATGCCACCCGAGGGAAGCACTAGGAGTGGGATACTGCCGCCCAAGCCTAGACAGGGGAAGTTGAGAGGCAGAGGTCGGGTTTGAACCACGGACCTTCCGGTCAATAAATCCGCACTCTAAACACCGAACCATCTCATTTCAGGCTGTCCTTACATGAAAGAGAGCGATCCAAATGTCACATCCGTTCAACCTGTGGCTTTGCTCCTTAAACACTGACATGCCAAAACCCTGGTTTTGGTACCAAGGGAATGAGTTATTGAGCACCAAATGTTTGTCCGTAATGGAAAGTTTCATATAAGCAAAGCTGACAACTGACCATACCTTGTGTCATTTTCTTGGAAACCGGGTGACCACTGACCAAAATTGGATTGTTTCGACAAACAGTAAGAGTATAGGAATCTCACTTATCAGATGAATGAGCAAGACTGGTAAAAATAAGGGACGTTTCCTCGTACTCGTGCGGGCAGGCCAGAAGAATGGTTGAGTAGCTCGGGTGTGTTTAGTGGTGGCTGATCAACTGCCAGAATGGTTGCTTGTGCAAGTATAACCAACAGGCTGAAGTAGTGAGATTCTCCATGCCGTGGCAAATCACCCCAAGGAAGCAAAAAAGCTATATTTTCAAGATTGCGTTCTATATTTGTTTAACCGTTTAGTGTTGCACAGATCGCCTTTGTAACTGGACTTCCAGAATCGTAACGTAGTGATAGTTATAGGCACAAAATGATAGCAAGGCGAGTGTAAAAGAGAAAAAAAGATAAGAAAGCGTATAAGACACATTGTTATCCTGTCTGTGAAAGCTAATCGGTGTCTGGCTGTTTGTTCCCAACGCGGAGTCTTAAGGTGAAGACCTTGGTTTATTTTCATCATTCAGCATGTATTTTCATACGAACGGTGACTTTAAATCGGCCTCATACCGACTGGTTTCCTATTGCTCCCAGAACAAATCTTAGATCGGGTACATAGAGACGATGAAATAATCTGAAAAAATGCAATAACGCTCTGTACATAAAGGGATCAAAAGGACGGTCCATCGCTTGCGCCGCTGTTTGCACCACTTCCTCCCGAACCACTCCCTCGTAACTCTAGTCGTCGTGTGGGGCTAAATTCTGCAGCACCGCGCACTTGGGATTTAGAATCGACAACACCCAGGCCTCCCGGTGCGGGAAGAGGCATCACCTTGAGTATTCGCGACAGAGTCAGGACGAGTTCGGCGAATGTGGGCCGACGCACACCTTCAAAATGCCAACATTGTTGCATAATTCCGTAGATGGACTCAGGACAGCGACTTGGCTTCGATAGTCGTAAACCTTGATCCAGCATTGCCAAAATTTGTGCACCTTTCATATCCTGCAGAGGCATCAAAAATTAAATGAGGATAGGCAACTCAAAAACATGACCTGAGAAGATATTCCAGTCCGTTTTGGATCCTGGATGACTTTCCCCTCAAACATCAACCATCTTCTAAAGGATCTAATCAAAACTAAAAATGCCCACTCTGGGTGTGCTTAAGGAGCGAATTCCCCTGTCATGAGAGGAAAGCAGACGGTGATTTTTATTTGAGCTTTCGTGTGCCTCTACTACTGCCGTTTTAAGCAAGGTTTTTAGTAAGATCTGTTAGGTATTGATAAGGCTGTTTCCATCATTACCATTCCGCCTCTCTGTGAATACCATCCTATGGTGCCAACATGTTTGAAACTTTTCCCCGGAAGCACAACCGTCTTATGAAAGAATTGCCTCTCAGATAAGATCCTGGTCGGCCTCATTAGGTACTTTAATCCAACAAATGACTTAATTAGGAATGACATCATGAGACATGCGCATCATAACGGATAATACTCATGGGCCGACGATCTTCAGCGAAAATCAAATTGTGAATATTTGAAAAATCTGGTTTCTGAGGGTACGAAGATTGCTACGTAACAATGATTTGGATAGTGGAAAGATCGGTGAATGGTTTTCTCATCGGCAAGTCAACAGTAAACGCTAGTCAGTAAACGTGCCATTCATTAAGTACTCTCCGAGACATTGAGCCTGGATATTCGAGTACAAAATTATCGTTGCCTACTTTCATTGAAATATCATCCTGTCACTAGAACCAGTCCACGATAAATAGTCAAGAAGCACTGTACAACTGTTTCATCCTTATTGAGAATGCGCGCCTCACAAAACTCCACGGAGTTTCGAACTCACGACTTTCTGGTCAGTGGTCGAACACTCAATTAATCGGCCACAACCGTCTTGAAACAGCATCCTCCCACACTGCGATTGAACGCCATGAATTACAGGAATATACAATGACTGGAGTTTTCCGGAAATGCAAATTCCGGTATATTATAGAATTACCTCAAGCGTACAGACGGCGAACACAGTACCTCTCTTCTTGACTTAATATATATTATTACTTTTGTTGGCGTTTAATGGGGAGATTTCCTCCAATTTTAAGTATGAGTTAACTATAAAATCAATGCCAGTCAGTAATCGAATGAGAAGAGTTTTAGCTAATTTTCGGTTCAACCCATTATTTGAAATTTCAATAGCACTTGGATTTACCACTTGAGTCTAATATAGCCTAAGTGTTTACGACGAATCTAAGCGCAGTAGCTAGGACAAACCTATCACACCGAAATTACACCCACCGTCCATTGTTATCGCCTGAGCAAAAGAACTGAACTTCTTGATTGTTGGTCTGTTCATCGAGTCTAATAGTTGGACCACAAAAGCTTCATCACCAACAGAGGTGACATCGTCAGTGCTGGGTTGAGTGGGTGAATTCCTCTTCTTCTGTCCGAGCTTACACAGTTTCTAAGTAGTATCTGATAGCTACACATTAATTGGTTGCACTCAAAATGATCATCGCGCGATTTGGCTGGTCACCCGGAAATCCGAGTTGCGTTGTGACCGCATTACCTTGTATCTGGTTGGTGCGTGAGGCGCTCTCAGTTCAACAGTTCTGTTTCTAAGTTGGGATTGGGCCGTTTCGTTCTTGTTTTGTGCTCTATACTTGTTCCACTTGATTGATCGACTACATAGGCTTTTAGTTCTGGTAGCATTCTTCCTCTGTTCCGACTGGTTAGTTGGATGCCGTCAGGCGTTCTAATTTCCGTATGGTCCAGAGTCCCATGACTACGTAGTTTTTTTTATCACAATGTCTGGACCGATGTCATTGTGTTTATTAATAGACTTTGGTGTGGAGCACCGTCCCTCGACAAAATTCCGTTTCCGTTCTCCTCTTGAAGGCCATCCCAAATGAACAGATGCCTTTCTCTGCCATCGTGGATCGAAACAAGGGACGCTGGGTCATGTCCTCCGCCGGCAAGCTTGTATTCGTGTAGTTTGGTTGCATTTTTTCTCCCAATATGCCCAGCATTAGTGTTTGTCACAGTCGTCACACTGAATTTCGTGAATCCTATTCGTCTCCTTCATTGCATCTAACCTTTCGGTAGGGTTCTTTTCAATGTGTTTGCAGGCTTGAAGTCGACTGTTATCCCGCGTTTTAACTGTTTTGCAGTCCTTTCCGCAACGTTCTTGATATATGGCAGCGTAATCCTTCTCCGCCCTGGTTGCGTTGACAGAGCAGCTTGCTGTTGGTTTTGTGAGCATCTCCACATGCAGTTGCTTTGGTATGCGTTATTTTGGAAAGTCGGCTAAAGTTTTTACCCCTCTCTTTCGATTCTGTTGTGCGGCAGTGAGTCTGGATCTGATTGAATAGGTTTGGAACACAGCTTCATTGCGACAGTTCATATGGTTTGTTTCCTATGTACTTCGGTTCGCAGTTGGCCGTTTGTTGTCCTGTGATGAAGGCCAATTTGTCGTTCCCCTCTGTTTTCATCGTGAAGTGTGTGTTCGAAAACAAGTTGTTCAGCGAATGCGTCATCCACACATCATACCCATATTTTCGGTTTGATATCTGGTAGTACAGTCTGCTCAGATCTCTGCATTGTAATTTCCACGATGAATCCATAGATCGGTGATCTCATTGGCACCCCTTTGAGTTGTTAGTGATATTCTCCATTGAATTCGAAGTAGGTTGTCAAGTACAAATCTGGTAATTCGTATAATTCTTTTTTCCAAAGTATTCCGTTACTGGTTTCGCGGTAGTCCAGATGTTCATCACCGTCGTTCTTGCTGCATTTAGAACAACCGATAAGAAAAGTGGAGTTACCTCGAAGGACACCACTATTTCGTCTTTGATTTTCACGTTTTTAGTCTCTACAGAAATTGTACCTCATTACTGATTTAATATTGGGACCCACTGGTGAGATACTACTTCCGCATCCATAGTTCTGTTGAAATGCAGTATGTGGGTATTTCTGGTAGTGAGACGATTGGGTGTGGTGGATCCGTTTCTCTGTAAACCCTTGGAATTCCGTAGCATCGGACAACCTCTGAGTCACAGGTTTTCATTCTCCAATATTCTCCCTATCCAACAGCCAAGGTCGGCGACTAGAACAACAGCCAAGCAGCGCATCCAAACAACCTATATTCCGGAATATTCCTAGGTTTATCTCCAGCAGTTGGTGGTAGTCGTCATAAGACCGAAAGGTCATGATAGGAAAAGTTGGGACACAGTTTCACCAAAGTCCAGTAATGAACGCGCAAGTCATTTGGTAGGACTAGTTGGTAATGTTTTGGAACTAGTTTCAGTTTGGAACTAGTTTCAGTCGAATAATTCAATATCAAGATTGTTCATGGAACAGTGCAGACAACGTGAGATCATAAATGAACGGAGTGTGTTGCGAAACAGAAATGGATTTATCCTGGTGATGTATTTTTCAACGATCTTTCATCATTTTCCTCTGCTGCACTAGTGCATTGTGAGTTTCTCCTCTATGAGACGTTTACAGCAATTTTAAAGTTTCAGCAAACAACATATTTAACCCAGCTCCAGGCATTCGCAGATATGGGCGGAACAAAATACATTTGGTCATAACTCGGTATAGTGCAGTAAACATCTACCGTGGTCTAACACGGTTTTGTACTGATACCATACATAAGAAACAGAGAAATGTTTGTGAATAAGGTAAATGAAAAGCACGGACAATAAAGAGCCAACGCCCATGAGCGTATTGAATAAATCGGAGAGGGAGATTTAGTTTAATCACGAAACCTACTGACTTACTCTATACGGTCGTTCGCCATAAGAATAGACTTCCCACAAGGTGATTCCGTAGCTCCATACGTCTGATTTTGAGTCGAAGCGGAAATAGTATATGCATTCTGGGGCGTACCATTTCAGTGGCCATTTGCCGGCAGTTGCAGCCTGAAAAATGTAAAATGTAAGCTGGTACATAGGATTGTCGGTTGTAAAGAATGGAGAGTGATCTCATTTCCAGGTGTCCTATCACTGTCTGTGCACAGTATATTGGTGTGACCGCACTAACCCGACATACAATGGGTACGGATCTGATAATCTGGTAGATCTCGTATAAGTTAGAGAGAATCGCCACACAAGCTCGTCGCGCATTTGTTTTAATGTTTCGGGGACTCTAGAAGATTAAAAGGATGCGTCCCATTCACCCGAGTTCGGTTGACGAAGAAGTTGGTGGTCTTCGTAATGTGTATTTCACAAGACAAGAGCTGTAGTCTGATGGACAGGAGTGATGACTATTGTTTCATACACTCCGAGTTATCTACAAATAGAGTGCCGATAATGATCGGAATAAAGGAACCAAAGTAAAGTAGCGAGCATCATGCCTTTGACGGTACAGCAGCCATATAAGATTGACAATAGCATACTATGGGTTGCATTTTACCAGATTCCGGTTGATAATTCATTATGCGTGAATAACTGTAGAGCCGAAGGGCCTTCTTACGTGTCTTATCAGTTATTCTCCCGTCAGGATTAGTTTACTTTCCAGGAACAACAACTGATTACAGAAGAAGTGGTCAGCTTCTTGATAAGAACTTGGATGTGCTCGAAGAAGACTGATTAATCGTATGTGTCCCTGTCTGGTTCCAAAATATGTGGACGGGCCGCGAAGCAGAGCAGGAAGCAGGCAGGGAATACCATTCAAGAATGACCATCAAATATGTCTGCAGCCAACAAGGTGTCAAACGGGACTAGTTGTATTTGGTGTGGATGTGAAATTAACAACCCTAGGCGAACAACGTGTGGAAGTCGGTGAGTATCCAGAGCGTACACATGGAGCCCCACATCCACATAGAAGTTGGTTTATGACTCACTCGATAGTAATCACTCCCAAAATTCAGAGCTTTGCTCATCCCAAAGTCGCTAATCTTCGCAAAGTGTCGTGTGACCAGTAAAACGTTCCTTGCTGCCAGATCGCGATGTACAAATTTGCACGACTCCAGGTAGGCCATTCCTAAAGCCACTTGGTACATCAATTCGGTCAGTGTGTGTATGGGCACGTCGCTGGATATGTAAAAGGGGTTCGAATACAAAATACATAATGCATTAACTCAAGTGTTCGCACGGATAAACACCGAAAATTTAACGTCTCTATGAAGAGAGGAGAACACAGGTATATTAAGTACAAATGGCTAGTGACCGAAATATATTTCGGTTTTAATTTCGAGAATTTCGAGAAACTACTCGGACAGGTGCTCACAAGACACCTAAACAGTTGAACACTATAGCTGAGTAAATCCAGAAACTTAAGAATATCAAGAAGGAGGTTGTGGCAAAACTGCACAATCTTGAGTATTTCTTGGTGTTGTCTCTATTATTTTCAGCCTTCGTCAAGTAATTGCTTAAGAGATTTTGCCTACCAAACGGTTGTGACTAGCAGCCTACTGAGTCCCTCCGTCTTATAATTCAAGAACGTTAGTTAAAACAAGAAAATGCGTTTATGTCATCTGAAGAACAAGTATCCCTTCTCGAGAGTTTAGCTGACCTACTAAATGGAGTTTGGTGTCCTCAGTTTTGCTTGAAAAGATATTTTGAGAGTTTCAGTGATGGACTCATAGGTAGTATGAAAAATTCCAAAAATTCAGGTGATTCGGCAATTTTGCACGTCATTATCAACTCAGATCTTGGGTGGGCAAAGTGTTTTGGTGACCATGGTAACCAAAAACAGCTTCCATGTAACTATGTCAAGGCATGCTTTGCTAATGAGTAGAATGTGAAATAACATGCACCAAGAGGTCAAACAAATACGTATTGAAAACCCCATTTCTGCGGAAGTGGTAGAACAGTACGCTTTGTGAAAGTTTTAAGACGAATCTTCTGGGACAACAGCTTGGCTGGTTACCCAATACATCAGGTTACAAAATCACAGAGTGAAGAATCGAAAATAAGACGTCAGTTTATTTTCCACACTGCTGACTGAAAATTAACCAACCGGCTTGTTCAGTTACGTGGTCCGCTGTCTAGAGGTTTCAACTGTTTAGTCAGTTAGTGTCACTTATACGTTGTCTTGCGTCGTTACACGAATAGGTTTAGAGGATTACGTAGCGTGTCACTCTTGAGTGTTCAAACAGAAACGTCACAAACGAGGGAGTCAGCCGAGTTCCGGGTAAGTCTCTCTCAAAACCAAAATTCGTTTGCGCTAATGATGAGACCCATTGAATACACGTCAGTGAATTCGTACGGCTGTATAACTGCACCCACTAAGACGAATGCTCGCTACCACCAAGCTGACCTTAGATTTGTTTGAACTTTCGAGCCTGAAACACCTCGGACAATATATTACTGACTTCCAACAAACTATGAACATCTTTCTTCGGCCAGAGCGTGTATTTCGATGTAGCAACGCGCTTTGAGTATCCAAGACCGAAGAAACCTAGCTCACTACTTTGTGGTTTGTATATCAGTGTGTACAGCAGATCGATGTTTTGCGGGACACCGAGTATAGCTGTTCCTACTCGACGCTGTAGACCTAAAGATGTAGTAGTTCTGACCGAACCTTAACTTTGTTCAATTCATCTCCTGTAAGAACCATAATTTTTTCCGTATATTTTTATTTTCAGTAATACTGTACCATCAGTCAGCAGAATGAAGCACCACAGGTGGATGTGTTAAATATCCGAATTCAGTGATGAGACAGAAAAGAGATGATCGGATCGCAAGGCTTTGTAGCCCTATTCTGACTCAACAGATTAGTGTAAAGGGTCAGACACAGTGCTTTTAGTGATCAGATTTAGTTTACCACGCAACCTGCGATTTGAAGTACAGCGGAATGAGTTGACGTGGCTCTTCGGGATTGGCTTACTGTTGCAAGCAACTTAATTTAAAACCACTATCTTTGTAATTGCCAGGTCTCCTGGAGAGTCGACGAACAGACAGAGGAAACAGAATGACAGATGACTGCCCAAATCTGCTAACCACTTGTGATGAACAAAAATTATACTTCATGCAACCGATATCTATTTGAACTGGCACGTCTATTGGTAAGAGATGAAAACTACTGCCCGACCATTATCGTAAACGCTTGGAACTATTGATAAAAGTTACAAAGTACGCAACTGGATTTTCTCATAGGCGCTCTCATACACTTTGCACCAGCTGCGTCCAACCAGAGTAACTGATTGTTTCCTTGTTTGTATCACTTCCAACTTGACAGATATTTGGGTATCCAGGAAAAACGGTTCAGACGTGCGGCTAAGTCTGTGGTCTCATGTGTGCATGGTTGTCGAAAAACAATTTAGCACTTGAATGATCGTCTACAGTAGGTTCAAGCTCAATTCGGCCTTCTTCGTTTGTGTACTTATCTAAAGTGCAACCATCTGTGACAGGGTGCGAAATGAAGCAACCGAAACTACTGACCGAGTTTACAGTAGCCTACATAGCTGGCAAAACTGAATTACCGGATGCAGAAAGAACCGGCAAATACTAACTGAATTGTATTACGACCGAGGGAAGAATGGTGTTTTCATGTCTGCCAAATATTGATATCGTTTGTAGCGGCTGAAAAAATCAATGCATTTTATTTGCATTGGTGATTAGAAATTACTCAGAGTGTCTATCTGTAATTTCTTAGTCCCTATCGAAAACCTACAGATAGAAACGCGATTGTATATTCAGCGGATACAACAATCGATTTCACGGACAACACAAAAACCCGATTATGGGATTATGCCTAGACAGTAAAAAACAAAAGAACTCACGGTCGTTTCTTCAAATATTTATTGATCGGGCCTAACGGAGCCAGTTCCAGGACGAGCATAAGTTGTTCATCTTTGCAGACACCTTAAAATATGGATGGGATTAGATGAGTTTTGGAGAAGAGAAGGAGAACATTTTGGCGAGTGGTGAGAGTTTTGTATTGAGGCAAAGAACTGTTACACGGAATGTGGATGATAAGGAAACATGCGACAATCTGAGTAGGGTACCCAGTATGCAGTAAGTATCGTTGTCTTGCTGGGAGTGAGATGTCTATGCATAGGATATATTATGCAATCCCGAGGCCACCATATAAAGGGTCATTCGCTTCAATCGCACTTATCTGCACATTACGGCACGTGTGACAGTGATAGTCTTGCTTATAAAATGACGAATCCTGACGAGACTACAACCTAGTACTCCTAAGGTAGCTTGTTTAGGGTTGAATTAAACATACAAAGCCTCAGGAAGCATTTACTCGCCAACTTCTCTATCTAATGAAGGCAGTCTAAATTGTCTACTTTGGACCATTTTAAGTGGATTTATGCCTATTATCCTAACTACCCGGACCAGTATGTGCTTAGAAGACTGCTTTACATCCTCGATGCGGTATTATTAAAGAATCAAACGGCCCTATGTCTAGATCGTCAAAATCGTGTGGCTTAATAATAAATAACTTTCTCTAGCCAAGTTAAATGACCATATAAAAGTTCACCATGAAAAAGAACTAAATGGAATCAATTAAAATCCGACGATTGTTGTTGCGTGGCTTGAGCGAATCACGTTTGGGGTTCTTGAGCTGACTGCTTGATGCAAGGATAGTAATAAAAAGGGTGTGGGATGCCGTCGCACAAAAAAGGGATGGGGTAAGTGTTGGCACTCTTGTTCTAGATTCATATGCTACGTGTAGAGCAATAGGAAACGCACAAGCGGATATCTTAGTAATGCCGGTGAGTTTTCGGAACGAGTATAGGCTCGATGTATCAAGATATATGATGTTACGCATATTAGGCACATCACGCCTGTTGCAAATTCGCCAAAAGAAGCTGGGGGCTGACCTGGCTGAAGAAATCAAACTGTATCATGTGAAGACGCGCGTTGCTTGTTTTGTTATCAGGTAGGCTAGAAAACTGACAGTCGGGAAGAGCCCTTCATTAACGAATCGAAAAAAACAAAGATGTGCCAGATTCCAAGTGGGTGGTTGCAAACCACACGCCAACAGGGTGCATGTAGACTTTTCGTTAATACACCTTAGTATAAAAAAATTTTATCCGTCAAAACGTTTGGTACCAACGTGCATGTTGAAGCGCACCGTGTATTGCACACCTTCGGCCCAGCTTGCAATATATTAATCGACTGAGTGAATCCAGAATCATTTTTATCAAGTGGTGACATAAAGTGGTTGAATGCACTGCGTCTATCGCAATATTGTCGTTAGTAACCATCTTTTTTTCCTGAATGATAGCGAGACAAGGTGGAGCTTGATGTACCATAGTTTGCTGAGGTTACCGCTTCAATGTGACTGAAAAATCCACATATTGTGGCGAAACAGAGAGTTCGTACTAAACAGCGATCCTATCAGAGATGGTGATGTGCAACAAGGGATTAGCAATTTACAATTTTGTGAGGATGAATGCGACGCAATCATCCGTTCCTAGGAAGTGATACATAAAGTCCATTCTGAAAACTGAACGTCAACAATCATGTTATACAAAAAGTGTATCGTGAAAAACCTTTAGGGCATTTAACATCTTAATAGTCTGTTTCCGGAGCACGTGACCACATTTAAAAAAAGCTTAATCGCTTGAATGTTGTGTAGATTTAAACAGTTGAATAATGGGCTACCTGAGGTGCATTCATGAGAAACGAATACGATAAGATTTTACTCCTATGCTCAAGCATCAGTCCGGGAGAACAAAATAAATGTGTAAAGTAAATATGGAAATTGACCATGAGCTTAGTAGGCATACTGCTGGTCAAACACGGGGCTTAAGTGCTGTTCCCTTGTGAGTGAAGAACTATGACGTTTATAGGTGAGAAAACATTTTCTAACGCATCGCACGCAAAAGATCACCCATCATCCCCACGAAAAAAGCAGTATCTCTCCGGGCGGGATGCGTCTCTGGGAGTTTAGTGAGGACGACAAAAGAAGGACGGTATCCAAAATCTGGATTCTGTCATAAGTGGATACAAATAGGTGTTGGTAACAATCGCATGTAACGAACATACACTCCGTCGGAGATAGTGAATACAACCTCTGGCATCACCGGCGACGCAATTGCGGGGAAAATATTGGGGAGGGGAGCGGAAAATGGGTTAATGCGTAAGTGCATGCGTTGTAAGTTTGAGTTGCCCACTGGCTATTTACCAAATCTATATCGCCGCTGTTACTTTCCCGAAATTTCTACAAAATTTAGTGCACGGAATACTGAGAAAGAGAGCTTTGTCACTTGGAAAAATTTGTCAACTGCTAAAATGTACCGTGACATTCACTTGAACATTCACACGCCATTTTCAAACCTTTTTACTGTGGAAGATAAAAATCATTAATCTCTAGAGAATAAGGGTAATGGAAAACAAAAAGCTGTGTCTTAACTGTTCGTTTTCTATCACAAACTATAGGGAAAAGATATGAAATGAGTCTTCAAAGATAATTTGCAGTTCCAAGCACCACGGAACAGGTAAATAACAAAGAGAAAGGCAGTTGGGACAATATGTAACAGTTTGTTCTACTCACCTATGAGACGAACAATGTGGCGGTGTTTCAGCTGAGCCATAGTTCGTGCCTCAGAAAGAATTTCCCGCTGAAAATATTAAAAAATACCGTAAGTACCAATAGGGAAAATATCAGATGGTCCTCTTGTGTTGTAGATTTAAGACTGATGCTACATACTGATCAATGGTCTAGAATGAACGCCCCTATTCAAACTCGTCCACTCAATTAATGGTTGTCTGGCCACACCAGAGAACATGGTTGAAAAGCTGTACACAAGTGGCCGAAGAATAGCTAAAGATGGTAACTTGGTGGTAATAAGTACATACGGAGTGCCGGCTCGTTTTATAAAGAATAGGACTTATGGGTCAACATTTACAGCTCGGAGAAGTTTCCAATTGGAGTCTTCCGTTTCGCATAGTCGGCTCACCCGTTTCGGTTGAAATGCTGGAAGTCAAGCAGGGGCACTAGCCACGCATTCTTCTGACGGTGTTTGAAACATTTCATCAACAAGAAGTGAGATTTGCCAGATTTCCGTACGGATATTATTTAAATACGTCTATTTACATTGTTGTTCCAGAGACACCTACTGAGGACACCGAAATATCACCCACCAAAACAGGCAAGAACCTTACCATAGATTTTCTCCCCATAATATGCAAATGGTAGACGCTTTAAACAGCTTCTGTAACGCGCATTAAAATATGTCAACTCGTCTAAACTGCCTGTTTCATATTCCAACAACCTGGTAGACACATGGGGGAGATGAATTGTGGCGAAACGTTGATGACTTCTGCAGCGACTGTCAAGCTTGGTCATTTAAGTCACTGCAGAACGAGAAATTTTTGTTCCATTCAAAGAAAACACAAACGTATTTTATGATGACCTGCAAACATCTTGGTTCTCGTGGGTTAGAAAAACGCATTTGTTGTGGACTGTTCCATTTTAGGTTCTTGCTTTATTATGTTCAAAACGTGATACGTGGTGCACGCATCCTAAGGCAGGTAGACGGGTGAAGCGAGTCGGTTCTATCGCGGAAATTACGAATGTGGCAGTACTGTATCGACGGGAATCATTATATTATTTTAATAAAACTCTCCATCGGTAGTTTTGGGTCAGTGGCGTGTGTGGCCCATAATGGGCTAGGACCACCTCACTTAAGTGGATGGCAAATGAGTCAAATATAAGCAAACTGGTGTTGTCTCCAGGAGCTCACAACACATACGCTTTGTCTTTTCACGTTGCAAGTTGTGTTGTTGAATCAAAAAGCCAAGACAAGTCACACCAAGCGAATATATTTCACAGCTCTCCCTAAATCAAGGTTTTTTTTTATTCAGCCGACATAGTAGATTCAAAATTAACCTCGACGGGTGTTAGCCATCAGATATTACCCTTGTTAGTCATGTCTCGGAGGGACAGCTCAACGAGTTCTGGGGTCTAATTACAGGGACGCCAAACTTGAAAAGTTAGTTTGCTTCCAACAAATAGGTGGGTCGTACCCAACAAAAACAGATTTTTGGCCCTAACCCAGTTGCAGAGAGAAAAATTCCTCAAATGTGGTACCAAAAAATTAAAATCCAAGTGTTAGGCTCCGGGAACGCATAAGGTACTTCGGAAAACAAACAGTATATGATGCACGTGATACTAAGCGAGGAATTCCAATAGTATTCTGGGTGGTTTGCGTGATAATGTCTGGATAACACGGCTACCACAATCCACGTCATTGCACCTGTCTCCTTCGCTAGTAACTTTGGAAGTATCCTCACTCACCCTATAGTTGTACGACGTCATTGGAGATCGATGCCACGGCGCATCGCTGATATGGCATTTTTTGGTCTCATTCGAATTCGCATGCATTCTCCGAAAACGGATTATTTGCGACCACTAATTACTTCTTCCGATGCGCAGCCATATACAAAAGAGGGTAGTGAGATGACCACCAAGCTCGTCTCACCAAATTCGAATAAGGGAACTTAATTAGCATTCCTCCCGGTAATTTATGATGCCAAAAAAGCAGAATAGCGTTGGAAAGGCGAAATGCAAGGATAGAAATCATTGCACTTCAGTTGCTGATATAGTTAAAAGAGTGGATGTTACCGAGCAATATGTCTGCATTCGCTTCGTTGCCACAAGCATGAACTATGTAATCACACCCAGTTTAGTTTGGGGAGTTAAGTATTAACAAATAAGACTCTGTGACGGCTCATGTTTATGGTTAGTAGATTTCACTGTATTTTCTCTCTCTCTCTCTCTATATATATATATATATATATATACATAACTAGATGTGAAGTATTTTGTTCATCTTCTGAGGGAACATTGGTTATGAGAAGGTGAGGTTAATTCAATGATCCGGAGAATTCGGCAGTTACACCAAGCACCGTCCAACAGTTTTATACACCACCCAATTTTTTAATATTCAAGCGCAATTAAATGGGAAACTGTTTTATTCAAAACTCCATACGCGCCCGAGAGTTTTACCATACAGTGACCCAACATTACATAAAACGACCTGTTTCTCCTAAGAAGAACGTACTAAAACATCCCCCTCTGCCCGACTTCTCATTTTAGCCCTAATGTGTTAAAATAATGGATATGGGGATGAAATTTCAAAAGGTGAGCGATAATTTGGCGGGTTATTAGGTACTTAACAAAGCGTGAGGTTCGTAAATTGGTTTTCCGAAATTTCAAAATCCTCGAGGGGAGATGTACCACCTAAGCGGAAAGAAGACGAAAAAATCAGATGAGCGTGAGAGATGTGTTTCCAACACATTGTAAGGTAGCGGGGCATCCAGTAGACAGACAGTAGGTGGTTATGTGCTGCATGTACCCGCCGAATTGTGTTACTAAAAAGTATGAATCTACGGAGCAAATTGTGCAGTGATTGGGTCAATACAGTGAGGATACAAAACGCTCTTCCTAGTGAATAAATCTCCTGGTAGCGGTACGGAGCATACCTTTTATCTAAGTAAATATGAATGATACACAGAATACATGCTGAAAGAATGTATATAGTCTCTTCTTTTCTAGCCAGTCGTATTACTAATTCTTATTTGGTAGCCATTTGATTGACAAAGGCCATAAACCACCCCTATTATCCAAATTTATGGGTAAACGTGAGCCAAGTTCCCCAAAACTCTTTCTGATATGTAACGATCCAGGTAATGGCCCAACCCTAGGTTAGATGCAGTTAGCGTTTTACGTTGCCAATAGATGGCAACTCGATCCATAGGTTTGCAAGACTAAAAAATACTCGGTACCCACACAGTACATCCCAATGGCCATCCGTCTTTTTTAGTTTTCCCGCGGTTAGACACCGAAATCTTTCTGATATATTTGGTTTCAATGTTCGTGACCTGATCAAATGTTGTTTTACCGTAATAACACCAGCTACGTTTACCGTCTTTACCATACCTGTTTATACACGGCATGATTACATTAGTAAAATGATAAGGAAACAGCAGCAGTCTCCCTCAGCTATTCAGCATGAACTGACAGCTTCCCACGATGCAGCCCGTAGGGAAGTGTTGTACTCTCTCAGATTGTTTTGTCGACATTGCTGTTTACAGTCTTTGTAAAACGAAAAACGAGCACTTAAGAAGCCAGCGTGTGTTAACAATTGGAATAGACTTCCGCACCCACCACCTAATTTGTATGGAATGCTCGTTTTTCAAATGATCAAACTCGAGAACGTGTACTGAGCCGTTAGATAAGTCTCAAATCCAATTTAACTGGAGGATGAGTTCAAATGAACGAAGTTCCGTTGGCCATCTGTTATGGGTTGGCCATCATCATTCGCTCTGTGCCTGGGGGAGTACGAGTGGTTGTAGGTTCCATTGTGTATGGACATCGAGGTGAAAACGTATTAGGGTTGAAACGACTCAGTATGGGGTGGTGGAATGGAACCAATGGGGGAATAAGACAAGTTAGGCGCAGAAGTTATTCATTCCGTGACAGTCGTCGCTTCCACAAGTGATTGCTTGGCGCTAGCGGAGACAAGCAAAGCTAACAAAGATATGTCCATTGAATTCCAGGCTTTCTTTCAAAATGCTATTCATTCGAGCTCATTACAAAAACGACTTGAAATTCAACGAGTTGATTGATTTCCTAAGCAGTTCACAAGTTGCGTTACACTTCCAGAAGGAAAACATACCTCCCTCCCTATGTGTTGCTCTGTTCTGAAACCCTGTCAACTTGATGCAGTTTTCGAAAAACGACACGTAAATTCAATCAAAATACCCTAACAGTGAAATATAGGTATACTGAACACAAACAAATTATTGAACAAATGTCAGTGCCTATTACGTAACACAAAAACAAATTTGACGCTTTGTTCTGCACTCTTGCATTCGTGACACTGTGCTCGGGCTTTCCTCAGAAAGTTTCCAAGAGTCCTCTTTCAAGACAGAGAATATTCTGCACTGCAGTACCAAAGAGAAACACATGCCTTTTGTGATAAGTTGTAGGCGAAAACAAGCATAATATACATTCATATGAGCACATGTGAGGCTTCGTTTGCTGCAACATGATTCCCACTACGTTGGACTTTCGAAACGTTTGCTGACGGTTACCGTTTTCTGAGACAGACTGTTGAGGACTCCGAAACCCACAATTATTACAAGTACATGAGAAAAAATTATGTTCACAGCGTTGTTGGTGTGCCTTTTGTAGGAATACTCGCAGTGTAACTTGAGACTCTGAAGTGTCATCAGTAGAGCTAAATGCGCTCAAATTTCTGGCTTCCTTGTTAGCGTCCTCTTATTAGTCCAGAATGATCGGCGCCCCGTTGTAGTTAGGCTGTATTAGACTGAACGTTTTGCAAATACAAGGTAGATGATTTATTTACATGGTTATGAAAACATTACCGTGAGTCTGTTTGGATATTATGCACCTTAACTGCTCGGATAATGAAACCGAAACGTACACAGCAAGCCAACTGACAATTTCTTGAAGCCAGGATACAAAAATTAAGGCCCTCTGCCATAATTTAGCGCCGTTCTCACAAAAGGTTCACGCGGCGAAACGGTCAAAAGACTGTTTAATGCTATAGGTTCTGCGTATCACGCACACTCCATTGCCCGCTACAATCATGTGTTTGCAGCTTATCCGGCAAATGTGTATTCCTATAGAAAGTAAGAGACTTTAGTAGAAGTACGAGTTGTATGCACGTAAGATGCCAACGAAAAAAGAAGCCTAGGAGAGCAATGGAACGACTGATTTCCCCTCACAGTAAGGAAACTGAGCTATCACTGATGATGCCTCACGTATATTGTTGCGCTTGAGTAGTAAACGTGATTGACACATCATTTTGGTAGTCTAACTGACGAGGAGTCTTATGCGTTACATCCGAGACGAGGTAAAGGTTCAGATCGTCCGAATATGCAAACAAAGCAAAAGTGTGCACAGATTCATTTCTTCCTATAACTTTTCTCCACCCAGTTCGCAGTTGAGTTCCGCACTACAAAGTAAGCATTATATTCACTGTTCTCATCATATATACCATCCTCAACGTCAAAATTGTCATTTAACTCCGGCAGACGAAAAATATGTTTAACAACTTTCGTAAAGAGTGAACTCTTTTCCTGGGGAGTATCATCTGGTGACTGATGTATTTAGCACTAACGCTCACAGGGTACGTCATTTCATTTGAATGCTTATACTGGCTACTAAGTGAATAGTCATAGGAACAGTCTGGAGAAGTAGAACACAGTTTTACCCATATACGCTTGACGAGGCCACACCACATGACTACAGTCTATGCGTTCTTAGTCATGGTGGATATATTTATCGGGATTAAGATATGCAAAATCATTGAGAGTAAATGTTACACGCTGAAAAAAGTGCACTTACTTCACCAGTATTTGCAAGTTGATCCGGTTTCAGTGTTTTTACAGCCACTGGGATATCTTGACCTGTTGGTGTGCGATAAACTCCCTTCACAACGTGCCCAAAATTTCCTCCACCTGGGGTAATAAATTAGACAGGCACACTTAAGTTTAATCCCATGAATTAGCAGTCCTATAAAACTAGTGGATTTGATTAAAAAAACTGTGAGTATCCAATATGGGCAATTAAACAAGCGAGATGAAGTAACTGTCTTTTGTGTGTCGGAGAGATAAAATGAATAACCATACACAGGCGTGGATAAGGCATCCTGCCGTAGGCTTTGTTTCGGTCTAGCCAGACAACCTGTACCTACAGACTAATAACAGCTTTCCTAAGGAAACATCATTAGCCTTCTGCCGACTGGGCGAATAAGCGAGGTTGTATATATAGAGGACCGGTACCATCGCATACATAGACATTCCACAAGGAAAAGCGTGATATCGAAATCACGTAATCCCTCGAACTTTAGGAATGTTTTGCATCAACGTCTTCGAAAAACACTCGTTTATAACACTGTTAGAGTAACCAAAAAAACGTCACATTCGTGCAGTGCGTTAGTATACAGTTTCCGAACTAACTGAACATGTCACCTCTAATGGTCAACTGTATTCCCCACACTGTCTAACGTGTCGGTGATTGAAAGCGCAGCAGCTGGAACCAATGTACCCTTGTTACATTGATAAATTGTATCATCTATTAGGTTGATAAAATGAACTGAACTGAACTGAGCGTTCGTGCGAATGCCCCTAGATCAGCACACTTGTCTGGAACGCAAGCGCAGTCCCATCCGGTACACGATCAAACGTACAACCAGTGAAGCTAACTGAGATAACTTAAAATGCTATAATGACACAAATAGGTGCATCTGTTCCGTTAGACCACACCGACGAATGTGACCTGGTGGAGGATGCTATTTGCGGAGCAAGGATAGCGGACAAAAACCCAGAACCATCCGCGATCCGACGGAAATATCAACTATAACCAGACTACATGCGCAACAGACGCAGAAGGCACGCAAACAGATGATACAGTGCCACACGGAATCGACCGTGATGGCACAAAAGCATGTAATTGTATGCTAACATGGAGCAAAACAACCTTTTCTGAGAAGACAGGTACATAGCAGTATGCTCGCGTTTTTGTGAGTGTGCTAAATATTACAATATTAACTTGGAGAAAAAACATATTAACAGTTGTTTGACTCGAGAACAAGTTGTTGCTATCACAAAAACACCCTGATACAGCTTCGCGCATTGATTGTAATGCATGTGGCAATCAACAAGATTTTTCGACTCTTGCGCATTTAGCCGTATTCACCAGGTGAATTATTAGAATTATGTTTTATACGATCAGTGATGGCCATATTATTTTATATTTCTAGCGTTTATATGCCACTGGCCCCTACAAGTATTTTTACCGACTTGTTATTTCGCTCTGCTTGACAGAAGAGAAATAAAAAGCTACAAAACATGCTTCCAATGTAGAGCGAGTGCAAACACGATTTCGTATTGGGCAATAGATATCACCTAGTATCAGGTGTTTCGATGTAAGAAAACGATGAGGAATTCTTGGTCTTATAGATAAGATTATGTATGAAATGTGAAGCAGACTCTCAAAGATGTAGCGTCAGCGAGCTCAAAATGAGTGTACTGTTTTGGCAATCCGGGAAATAATTGCGGTGGTGATTTCCAGACCACAAGGGCGATCTTTTCATGGGCAACACAAACTTCAAAGAAATACTGTGCACGCCATACTATTATGGTTAACAATAATTCGTGCACACCTATGTCCTCTTCCAGTGTGCAGTCTTCGAATTGGGAACAAGTCCGTTTCAGATTAGTTGGTTAGCAGATATTGCGAGTATTTGCGCAGACTCGTAGGAGTATTGCACACGTTGTGGACATCCCGAACGCCACGACGGCCTAATCGAATTGGGTGCAGAGCTGAGATATTTTTTAATGATATGAAAGAGTTGTTTCGGCACCATGCTTCCTTAAATTCGCCAGTACGCCAAAAATTATATACCAAGGCATAGGGATCCTTGCCTCCTCATCCACTTTTCCCGCCGTAATTTTCCCTGACGTTCTTGGAGGATTGAAGAATGGACAATCAGTTAGGTAATCGCATCAATTAAAACTGTGGTATATTAACCACGGCCATCCATGGACACGTTACTACTCCGAAAAGATGTGACTGTATCGCATCATTAGGCAATAATTTATAGCCTGTTTCTATTCAGTATTGTCACTTTGTATCACGAAAACTACTCATATAAATCTTAGGTAACATCAACTGGAAACGCTTCCCTTTACCCCCACATTCATGCTGGTATCACAGTAAACCAGATTTGTTTTTTCACCATTGGATATTACATTACCACTTCGGCTTCTGTTAACCTTGTTTCCTTCTACACGCAGATTACCGTCTGACAGGAAACCTTCTCATTCCCGCGTGTTTTAAATAAGATAGCTTGAAGTGGTCGTTGAAGTCGACACATAGTTATGTTAATGATTAGATTACATTTCAACTTCGATTGACTCACTGTCCCAGTTAACCAGACCGTCAGTAATCGTCTGTTAGCTATACAAGACATTCTTCCCGATTTCCCTTGATCTCTTTGAGCCAAGTTTTGGTGGATTGTAACCGCTAGTCGGCGCTAGTGGCCTCTGTCAATGACTGTTGTGATCGATTCACTCGAGTCATTACATGTGCGCTACCTATTTCTGTGTTTTTGTTCGTTAGTATCTTTCTAACTTCCAACATATATAAAGACCATACAATAATCGCTTACTTATTCAGAATCAGCTGCCTATAAACCCATCGTGATGGTATATATCGCTAGTGAATATCACTGGCGAGGGTTAACAAGATACGCCGACCAAGGTAATTGAACATTACTGTTTAAAGCAGACTCATTCATGCAATATTTACAATATGATATTAACGTGACACTTCGTATAATCACAAGATATTCTATGATATTTTAACTAGTGTCTTATCGGTCTTCACACTATCTGTGCTGTTGTACATACTCATTTCATGTTGAAAGACCGTATGTTAAAAGAGGACGGCAGTTTTCCACGCTAACTCTGCGTTAACTAAACTGCATTTGGGAGCAACGATTGGACAAACAACTGAATAACAATAATTTTGCAAAGATTGTAATTTTCACTATGATACACCGGTTGGAATCTCATACGTGAACAGTTCACACGGTGCAGGATGTTTCCACATTTGCAGATAACCCTATTCAAACTCCCGCGTCATTGGGGCGTGAGGATTTGATTTCATCGCACTTTTTTGTCTCAAGCGATGGCTAAATAGCAATGATTCGCATCAGAAAGTGCCAAAACAATTTGTGATGCTGGGGGCACCTTAGACAGTTGGGAACAACAGGTAGTGGGACGGCTTGTGCAAGTACAAACTGACTGCTGACGTGGATTGGATGAAACATAGTACCGGTGAAAATGTCAACTAGTTCAGTAGAATTCAGATAACTGAGATTCATGAAGTAGGAGAGCGAAATGGATAGAAAAGTAACAGGTACGTTAACCTCTAGTTAACCTAAACGAAGTCTCTGATTGAGCGCACACGTCGTTCAATGGAACGCACTAAATTGGGGAAGACGGAAAAGTGACCTTCTGAGGGGAGTTGGAAGTATCCAATAATACCTGCAATGAACTTGTGTGGAAAAGTACGCACACACAGGGGTTGAACTAACACAATCGGATTTAATGTTCTATTGCATGGACCATATGAACACCTAAAACACAGCATCAGCTGTCGATCTGATGATGGAACTAACTCACTGGAACAAACATACTGGGAAGTAACGAGGGTAGGCCACCAATGAATGAAATTTCCAACAGTAGGCAGAGGTAGTATAATTCAGCGTTTAGTGGTAAGGCAAACAAGAGATTTTTCCCAAACGAGGCGCGGTTGGATCGCCACCATTTATAATCTCAGACACTACTTTACGCAATATTGTAGTTTTCGATTTACGAATACGGCACTCACTGAACGAGAAAAACCTACAGGAAATAATAAACGATCTTCCCCGAAGTGAGTCGGCTCAACGGATGATGATCACAACAAAAGGAAGAATCAAATAAAGCTTACTCAGCCTGTGTGGAGCAAAGGAAATGGAGTTGGCTGCTCAGCTCAGAAAAATTGAGGTTGCGTTTTTATATCTCACTTGACAAGAGCCGGTTAGTTTTAAAACATCAACTCGGACTAACGAAACTGCCAAAAGTGCAGAGTTAAATTGTTTACCATGCATTATGCCAGTAGTCGGAACACATTAAATAATGTGTTGTCCCCCACAAAGCAAACTGCATGTTGTTTGTACAAGAACTGTCTGCATGGAACATTTTATAGACGACACGACTAAGTCATATTCGAGTCAAAGTTGGCATAAAGACAGTCTGCAAGATTCTCAAACATATGGAAATAAATCAAAGCCCGGGCACTAATCAAAAGGTGCTTACCGCAAGTCGATTTTGTAAGGAATTATAGTGCTACGGGAGCTCGTGTTCATCAAGTTGGCTGTCACTCAGGGACATGATCATATACATATATGTATATATATATATGTATGTACATATATGTATATATATATATGTATATATATATGAATGTATACGGCAATTTTTCCTAACGGTACTTTGATGAAAGAGCCCATCCAAGAAGGGCGTCTCGGGCGGAACTCATCTGCTAATTGCGCAAATCTACTAAAAAGGACGAGTTCAGCGGTTAGTGTAATTAAATTATATACACCCATCTGGGTATATTACTCATTTTTGGGCTGTCGAATCCATAGAGAGTAAGGCTTCAAGACTTCCAAGATTCCTTTACGCGGCAACACCAGCTGATTAATGGTAATCAGTTTTCGCCCTCCATCCGACATACTTAAACTCTTAGGAACTCAAGTTATATGTCCAGGTGCACCACTCCTCACATTTACCTCGCCAGCTCAGTGATTATTGTGGCCCATTGGAACGAAAGTAAGTCACTATCCGTAAATTATAACTTTTGGTTCGTCAAGCTGAAAACAAGGGACAAACACTTGGTTCTATGGTCGGCAGCTTTGGTATTCATATAACTCAGGTGTTCAGTATTATCATTAACAATGAACATAAACAGTAGGCTTCCGAAGAACAGACCACTCCTCGAATCCAACTAAATCTACAGTTCCCAAGTATAAGGGACGAAAGACCTGGAAGTCGATGGTTGGCTGTCATGTCCCCATGAGGAATGTTGATCCCATTAGCAACACTGTATACTGATGCGAATTACAAAACTCAAGCCTTGATATTGGGTAAAGTTGAAAAAAACCTTGAATCGCAGGACAATAATATCTTAATCCTTCCAAATCGTTGGCCTAGACCTGTCCGTCGAGGGTGACATAACTTCGGGGACATAATGAACGGTTAGTTATGAGATCACGCCACGTCGCTGTTCCAGAATTTGTTAACAGAGCCAGTGGGTTGGGGTAGTTTGGAGGGGGAGCGAGATGGCTCAAGTGGTTAAAGCGCGAATTTACTGACCGGAAGGTCCGTGGTTCGAACCCGACCTCCGCCACTCGACTTCCCCTTTCTAGGCTTGGGCAACCTGACAGTATCCCAGCCCTCGTGCTTCCTTCGGTTGGCATGGCAGCTAGGCACCGAAAGGGCGTTACAGCTGAACGATTATTATTAGTTTGGAGAGACTTCAGCAGCGTAGTTTCCAAAACAAAATGAATGCCCCTGTATAACGTCACACCTCCCGCTGTCCAAAGCGAGTGGAACTGAGTGACTGTGGCACGACTGTAGTGGCAAACCTAACTGTAGATTGTGATATTATGCAGGGATGTTCATGTGAGCCCAGCTGACGTAAGCAATGCATCATGAGGGGCAAAACTGACCGACTGTGACACGGTTCTCAAGTATGGCTAAACTCCATTGGCGTAGTTGTTGCAGCAGAACGAACTGCCGATCAAGTTATGCCATTCCATTAAACGGGACGCCGTTGACACGTGTGCCAAGGAATGCAAAACGGGTCCATGGTATCGTTTACAATACAGTATAGACTGTTGATTCAGGCGTTAGAACTCGGATAGCCAGAGGGATTTTAACTGATTCACTGTGGAGTAGCTGCCAAGGTAAAATGAACGAATTGTGACGTCAGTAACATGAGTAAAGCAGCAATTGACAGTTTCATTGAATTTCATGGCAAAAAGGTAACGACTGGCCCATCAGAAGTGGTGAGTGGACCGAAGGCCATCCAAATGCCTTATTTGGGTGAGATGTAACCTTCCACAACCACTCCAATAAAACCTTCCAGAAGGAATGTGCCAGTAAGAGATATATCGACATTAAGGTTAAACCAAAAGTCCATAATAACCCCATGAAGAACATCCAAAACACGGGCAATGCAGTATACGCCAGAAAAAACAACAACGAAACGCGCATTCTCGGTTTTCCTCTAGCTATGATGAATCGGGTTGGCAAACATTCTTCCAGGAGTGCTCTGATCAGACGACGCCATTTACAATAAAAGCAAATCGAACCTAGCATATTCAAGGAAAAGATGTAGATAAACTGGCAACACGAGTAGCCTGACAAAGTGACAAGTAATGTCAAATGCACTCAACAATCTCCTAGTTCCTTCAAATTATGTTCCACCTGCGAAAAACATTAGTACGAGCAAGTGTGGGAGCTAAATCATTGATACCAATAAAAATCGAAATATGTTTATCTGTCCATTGTAAAGTAAATCATAGAAACTGCAGCTATCTGATTCTTTTATCCACGTCCATCAGTGCCCTGCGGAGAAATCTGACAAATATGCGGTTTAAATTGTGTGCCCCCAAGACAGTACACTACCAGGAAGGGAAGGTTGGTCTCGAGTCCGCAGACTCTTCGACAGCAGTACCATACACCTTCCCTGACACAAAAAAAATCGCCACTCAACATAGGGTTTCGGTTAGCTTACCCAGACGTTCCTTAAGTATCACACTATGTGAGCTCAGAAGGAAGGTGGATGGAGGCAGTTCGTCGTAGATCATCTGAGTATTCTCCTGGCACATATCCTGTGACCAAGGGCTTCGGCTAAAACTAGATGCGCGACGACGCTGTTGGTGAGAATTAGGGGCACAACAAGCGGCGGAGAAAAACGTGGACACGTCTGGTGAATGAGGGCCCAGAACTGTCGACTGACTTTGGGAGATAACTGGGGAAGCGACGCCTGGACTTGGGGTAAATTGAGGGGCGAATTGGGGAAGAAAAGGATTTGTACAGCATGTGGGTGGGAGCGGAAGCGGGGGTGCAGCAAGCAGCACACTGCATCCACTGCAACTGGAACCGCCACTGTTTGTGGGAATAGAATCTGAAACACATGGGATTTAACCAGTCCATATGAAGGCTGAGGCTCGAAAATTGATGGGCAAATAGAACTAATCAATTATAGAAGACATTCACTACAAAGATTGACGAAGAAGCGCGTAATACCGATTGACCGATTGATGCGGTCAACTGGTGACAGTTTTTCTGTGGTGTCATTATTTTGTTCGTTAGTGGGAGGACACAATTGTGGAAACATAGGCACCGATAACCTCGCAGGTCACCGGAAACGATGAATCAGGTGTGTGATCAACAGCATCGACCTGTGTGGCACGCAGTCTAGTGTAGGAATGCCCGAAAGATAAAAATTGCTGCTACAGTGGGCTCAGTGGACGCCCACTTAGTGAAAAATGTTGATTTCCGCTGCAGTTGGTATTCAATAAAAAACCCTCGCCTGAATTTTTTCCTCAAACGCGTATCCAGTGAGATGTCACCTATAATCCGGTCGGAAACCGTCTAATTCCATGAACTTAGAAACTTGAAGTGATATTTCTTATGTTGGTGCCATTCGCTGTTGCTGCGACAAAATAGTGACAAGCGGAGCGTCATCCACTATGGACAATGTTGTACCATTTGTACCACTATGAATTGAAACTGTCTGTAAAGTTGAGATAGAATGAGCAACCTATGCAGCTGGGACCAGGTCTGCCTTATACATCATATTATTCAACCAGACAAACCACTAGGGAGAAACATGAAATCCCCTTAGACAACGGATGTCAGCAGCATTTTGATTAATTTTATTACTGGATTTGGTTGTGTTGTATGAGAAAATGCAATTGATTTTGACAGCCCAATGAAATGCGAAATCCCAAGAAAGTACTACTATTAACAAGCAAAGGGACGAAAATACGGCAAGTGAGCATATGAACCCATTCAAGCGAGCTGCAAACACAAAAGCATCCTAATGGCTGCCGTTTGGGAGAGTTCTATCCACGACATAGGACGCAGAATGGAAGGGTGCTGCAGAATTCCAAACTAATGATTCGGTGGCCTCGTCAAGATGAATTTACTTAAATTAGTGTTCAAGTGCGAAAATCTCGCTGAGCACAGCCACAGGTGAAAGATATGAGAAGGTCGCTTTCCGGCTTAAAAGATCAGCAAACCAGCATTCAGGTCTTGGAGTTCTCAACCTTACAAGTAATAAAATACAGTCTATGATTCCTAAAAAAATTGTTGCAATGAAGGAACTGAGAAATTTTGACTTCTCTTCCTCCAATTTGGGCTATTTAACGTAGACTGGTGCTCCACTTGAATCTTTAATTTGAATCTGTATAGTTGGCTGATACTGAACAAACTGAACGGAACTGATTCTGATGATCTACAGTTTTGGAATATTATCCAGTATCAAGACTGATCCCTGAATGAAACTCTTTCATACCTTCATTACAATCTGGTTCCTCCCAAGGACTGTCTAAAATTGGAGGAAAGTGTAACGACTGTGGGGGTGCTTCGTTCGAGGAGGTCGTGGTTATACAAGTGTCGTTCAGGGACCGGTCAGACCCGAAATTAGCCAGTTTGGTTAGGGAGTCGGAAATCTGAGTGGTACTCTGTGGTGTATTCGATAAAGGACAACATGAAGGGGGCGACGTTTCAGGCTGGAGGATTGAGAGACGAGTAGTTTCTCGAGTGGGTGGAGCAAATGCACCGGAGACGATATTTGCAATCGCCTTATTCACATCGGCTGTAGCCCGTCCAACCGGAGGGTCACCGAGTCGAACTGGTTCTAAACATTTCGGATCGGCACCACTGTAAAGAACAAGGAGCAGGAGAGTGAGAAAATGAAACAAAATCTATCCATTACGGAGGAAAAAAGCTAGTTTAAGAGATCTTTGTCAATTAAATAAACTACAAATGCTTGAATCAATCAGATAAGCACATGGGTCTACCCGGGTATTCTTCGAAACATATCCTTAATTCACTGTGAATTGAATAAGTGTCCGATATATTGATCTCTTACTCTCCAGCCAGGTTTTGGATACGCCGACCCGCTTGCTTCGTCAGTGGATAGAGAAGAGTCGCTACCATACTTCATGGTACTGGGAAAAATCTATCTATCAGATCCGCAACACCAGAGACGGTTAACCCTGTTAGCCCTATAAATATTCGAGGTTTGAAAATTCATGCAAATGTAGACTCGGCGCATGTGAGGACATTTTTACCTCTGCATCAACTCGTGTACTAAAAGTGATTTTTCAGTCATTATGCTTAAATTACCAAGACAATAATCGCTACACCTCAAAGTTGGCTACCTCCTATATATCATCAGCTATCCGATCAGGTTCATCAATATCTGCGTGATACTCTGATGCGATTATAAATTTATGGTATATGCACATCACACTCTTGATGGAAAATCAGTAAGCGACTATCTTTGCTCGTTGCTGGGAATGGTATTAAGTGGCCCTTGTTCAAGAATGGATATTTTAACTCTTGTGGACCGAGACAGTATAGCATCAACCGACAGATTATAGACAATCTCGTGGGGATAGGTTTGTAGTCCTCCGAACAATTCTGGTCCGTTTTGGGTCTATGTATTACATGTGTTATATGTGTTTGCGCGGTCGGTTAGTCGTCGCCTAGGAGAAAAGTATCAAGGTTCAAATGTTTTCAAAATGAAACAGTTTTTACGATCTGTTTCCATCATCATACGCACCAGATAGATGTCGAAGGGCTGCTCAATTTGGCCTGAAAAAAATTTTGCAAAACTTTGGGAGGATCCACACAAAAAAGCACTAGCTTTTCGCGATAGTCATGGGTTTGCAGCTTAATAGGAATTACTTTACACGGAAAAGTAGTGGCAGCATAGGAAAACTAAAATAAATTCTTCACGAGTTCTCAATGTCTACTCTTTCTCCCCCTCTTCATGTTGAAGGACAGGAACCCTTATAAAATAACGATAAAACGGACTGAAAAACCCATGCAAAGCACTGTGCGCATGTGCTTCATACCTTATACGGTGGGTGATGGAAGGTGTTTAATTTTTTGCCTCTGTTTATTTATTGCGATCTGAGGATATACAAGAACGAGTAATAAGGCCGAAACACATGAACCGTTTTTTTTTCAGCGACAGTTTAAATCGGGTGCTGAGAAAGGAAGCGAATAAAATATTGTCTTACACAAAGTCCGTAACCTAATCGGAGAGCTAGGGAGCTGAAAAGGGAATTTTCAGCATCGACGAAAGTGGCACGCACAGATTCTTATTTTTGTGGGAGATTGGCCATTATCGGACCAGTCAAAAAGGCTGGGTTTCATTACTTAAAAAAAACAATTTTCAAACTACAACGGCACAATTTTAAAATCTTAGCGAGCCTCGAAAGTTCTGAAATTTTTGGTGTTTTATTCACTGTTCCTTCCGTAAATTCCGTTTCCTGGTGTCCTATTGGTTGAAATATTAGCCTGATGGCCAGGCGCAGAAAACGGTCCTCATTTGTTATAGTCCTACTTTTAGTGTGTTCTGCGAGGATATTTAAATGTGCCGAAACATTGGTAGCTCAAGCACGGTTACTGAATGGCAAAAAGGCCTGTTCGACGAGCCCGATAATTGGCTCCCAAATATCTCCCTCACCGGTGACGAAACATTTGTGGATCCATTGTTAGGCTTTAAGACCAGAACAATAGCCACTTAAAAGAATATGTAGCCTCGATATAGAAATTCACTTTAGCTAAGCAATTTGCATAAGTTCAACATCTCGGAGCCTAGTTACAATGTAACTCTGAGGTTCCTCTGCAGAACTTCTGTGCTTTGAGCTGCATAGACACCACGCTTCCCAAGTAATCAGGCTCACAGTTGGACAAAAAACTAAAAACAAGTGAAGCGGCTTGCTGCAGAATTCCCCTGTAAATAACGCCGAAGACCACCACCTCCACATTCTCATGGCAGAACTGCAGTCGCGGATGAAGCCGACAACCGCATCAGTTGACTGACATATGATATGACAAACCTACACGTACTGATCAATAATGCGTTGTTTATGGACTGCCCTAGAAAGCTACCTGCTTGCTCGCCGTTTTTGTTCCTGATAGTGGGTAATTTTCGCCTGTTGCTCAGGCCTTTGATTGTGGCAAAAGAGTAAAGGAGAGTTGAAGATGTTTGAAAGACCGTTCGCGGTGCCAAATGACGCTACTGTCGACGTATCCGACTTCGTCACTTTGCTGAGCGACAGCACGGATAGTGGATTGGTAGAGGTGCAATTTGGAACCGGCGTAACATCTGCCAACGGGTCTGCAACTGGTGTCGTTGGAGTAAACGGGGACGGAGGGAACGGACTCGTATCAAACAGGGCTGATGCGGACGCAATGCAATTTGGTCTATCTTCCATGGCTCCTGGACCACCGTAGCCGTTCGATTTGGTTTTGAGTAGATCAGTGAGAGGACAAAAAGGAACGGGACTGGACGCCGTGTCCTGATTTTACAGTGCAAATGAAAACACAAGTTGACGAGCGTCATGTAAAATAAATGAATGATAAGTCTGCTTTCGTACGCAATATATGTCCATACCATCAACAGTCTCCATTAGAGTAATCGTGCTAAATCACTTGACCAAAATATTCTTTTCAAACAGGGTGCCTGATTTTCAACACATTTATCAAACGAAATAAAAATTTCAGCGTATGAACACAGTGAATTTTGGTATGCTTATTTTCCTTCATGAATAACGTACAAGGCTTCTATACAAGCCCCAGATTACAACTGACTATGAATAGGTTTCTTCGGTTTCAGTTTATTCATGAATGTGACATACTCGGACAGAGACATATATAATAAGACTGCACAGTCGGATTTTGTCGAACATGCAAATGTCAAGCGATAGGGCACGGCAGTCCTGTACACGGCAGGACTCGAGCTTCTAAGAAAAGTAATACGGGATAACGGCTGTCTAAACCAATCACTTGGCTAACAAAGAAGCTTAAAACGAAGGGATGAGAAGGCAACTCACGAATTATTGCTGCTGCATGTTACAGCAAAGAAGTGAGACATTTAGAGTGTACTTTCGGATTTTTTTACAGCGAGGCTTTCAACTTGATCTTGTTCATCAGATAGGGACGACCTCCCTCAAGTCCCTCCTCGAAACGGTAGGAATCAGAATGCAGACCGCCTTCTCTGGCTTGAGATTAAACCGATTTGAGTGTACCGTGAGAAACAATAGAGGCACTAATTTAGCAAGCTGTTCTAAAAGCTAGTTCGACCACGATGCAATAAAGTATAGTCCGGTGACTGTCTTAGAGAGGACCTTGCAGCTAAGGGGAACTGATCTTGATGAAGGATGACCAAAACGATTTCTGGCACCATTTATGAAGTATGGTGGACTTAGTTGACTAGGGTGCTTGTCTTTGTCTAAAAGAGCTCATTTTTGGGGTTCGAGGGTGGAATTGCGCGTGTGTAAATGAGGAAATAACAATACCTATTTAGAGCCAGCCAGCTAAAGCAAATAACTGGGTCGACTCTAGTTTTGCACCTTAACAACACCCCAACGCTTCCGTCCCCATCTTAGAGATATTTCAAAAGAGCATGCTATTACGTTCACCATCCTGTGTCAAATTAAGTTCACTAGGGTTGCGCCGTTTGGGATCTAAAAAGGGAACAGTAAAGTTTCTTATACCTCAAGGTAGGTTTTGTCTTTTAATCTGCTGACCGAAAGTATTTTTAGATGTCCATTTGGTCTGGCAAGGGAAGTAAACCCAACGGTAGACAATGATGCTATAATCGCCGTCGACAGAAATCATTTTTGGTAGAGTGAATGCGTGAAAGTTTCAAGAGCTTGGGAAATCTGATCCACCAATCATTCGCAGACTGCCATTTGGGTGACAGGTTTGCTTTTCAGCATAAAACAGAGTCACAAGATATAGATGAATGCAACACGTCTTGATTATGTGCATGGACATTCGCCACAACTGACCTGCCAGTTTCGTCTAAGCGAAACTGTTCCGACCACAGATGTAATTTTTCCCATAGACCTATATTTAATTCACCGCAGATTGATCTTTGTGCACAAGGGAAGGTGGAAAACCAAATAATTCCGACGTCTGTCAAATTTGCAGATGAGTCCAAAAATAGAAATGCAGAGGAGGTAGAGAAATTCTGTTTGACGGACAGTTTACATGCATCAATTTTTCAAGGATAAGTACCGATGACGGCTTTGCATTCCCGCCTAAGTGCATGTGTCTATCAAAAAATGAATGGTAAAACTTGTAATGCGCGATTTGACCTTCTGTCCACCTACTTGTTTGTAATAGCACTGACACAACTACCGAAGCATAAACCGAAAGTGTTTTGTCGTTTGAGTTGGACCTCACTGCTCTAATCGTATATAACTGATAAAAAGCACGTTCAAATTACAACTTTCATTATTTGAATCCTTCCCACAGTCAACTACACACATTCACTGCGGGCAAAACTTCGTAAACCCATGCTAAGGTGCTGAGAGAAATATGACTACTCTCATAGAAAAACGCAAAAAACGTTAAGTCGAACAAAAACCTAGCCTAAACATGCCTTTCCCTGCAGATGCTATGTTGAGAGGTGGACAACGATTGATGATCCTCTCCAAATTGGACTTCCAATAAAGTCATTCGGGAAAAAATCACTCATGGAAGAACTCTCCACTTGACGTCGATATCAACAAACCTGGTTGCTGGCCAGGAGTCGCGTCACGTTGGGCCAGTCAGCAAATGAGATCAGATCCTGTTTCAACTTTGAGCTATCAACCAGGGATGCCTCACCCGCACCGTTGGAGGCGGCAACCAAGGGAGCAGAGGACAGGGATGGTAATGACTGGCTACCGTTCCAACTGCTCACGGCGGACGACATATTGGTTTGAACCGCGCAATCCTCCTTCGGAATAGTAGTCTGAAGACAGAAACAACTTATCGTTTAGTCAAAGGATAGTTTAAATCAAATGTCATATTCAGAAAGTAATTTTACTTGTCCAACGAAAATATGGACAACCGATGACACGTGCTTACTATGCAGCTGAGTATCTAAAAGTCAATTTTCCCTTTCTTTTTCACTAAAGCGAACTAGAAAGAAAGGTGTTTTGGGTCGGAAACGAGAGAGTGATCCTATTACCAAGCGCAGTGGGGCGGGATGGCCCAAGTAGATAGAGCGCGAATTTACTGACCGGAGGGTTTGGACCCGACTTCCGACTCTCCCTGTCTAAGCTTGGGCAACCTGGCAGTATCCCAGACCTCGTGCAACCTTCGGTTGGCATGACAGTTAGGCACCAAAAGGGTGCTACAGCTGAACGATTTCTTTTGTCAAGCGTGGTTATCAATAGAGTGGTATACGCAAAAGGTAGTTGGAGCCTTTAGAGTACTTCATTTTCGGTAAACCCATCGATTGGAGACTACAACGACTGTTCTATTCGCTGTCCATTGATGACCGCAATGAAATTGCAAACATAATGTTCATCGAAACAATGGCTTACCCCGCAATTCCAAGAAGTTCCTAGTTTTCAAGTCCCAATTTGTGTTCCAAAAACTGAAACTAAATTATTTTGACGGGCATCAAAGCGCATTCCAATGATTTTTTCCCTGTTGAGAACCGGGACCAGTTAATACGGTGAAAGTCACCAAACAGATACGGAGAGTACCGAAACGCTGGTACTAAATCATCTGCGGTTTCTGAATAGTGTTCATCTCACCTATCGAGGATAACTAATCTCGACGTCTCTTCAAATTTCATTGGCAGAGATGTACTGATGAATTTACACATGAATTATATTGCTTCCCAATTTCCTTGTCTAGGGTTGAAACACAAGGTTTATTTCGGTTGAGCAAATAATTCATGGCGGAATAGATCTTCTGACACTGCACTGTGTCCAAAGAGTCTAATCCATGATTTATGGACTATTCGCATTTAAAACTTTGCCAAAGAGACCAGTAACTTGGAGTGGATGCGAGTGTGTTCGACTCACATTTTGTTCATTCGCCTTGGAGGCGGCACTTGAACCTAAGTAGACAAAACAAGAAAGAGCGCCGTTAGGTCAGATGCCGATCAGGAAGGATGAACCAATAAAAACAACGATAAAGACGTTGATTTATTTCACAGTATCTGTCATAGAACCGTTTGAGGTTACATACGATAAACCAAGACTAACAGGACTGCCCGCGTAAAAGTAATGGGCGACAAGCGAAGTTTGGACCCGAAGCAGACAATTATTCAGAAAATTAAAAAGACGAATCTGTGATTAGAAATAAATCTTATGCCAACAGGGAAGTTGGGCTTCCAATCCAACTCGCTATGAGCACATTCTCAAGGGTCAGATTGATTTCAGTTTCTGAGTAGGCAGTAAGGATTTCCGGTAATTTGTATTCTTACACATTTCTGGCCTTCATAGAGAATAAGCAATCACCTTCCGAAAATCCACTGAAACGTTTACACTGGACCATCCTCAGTTGACGTTCATGGTTTAGAGATTGCGTATTAGAAAAAGACGCGAGTGAGCGTGTTGAAATAATCAAAAGATGGTGATGATGGGATGCAACACGGTTCACAAGAGCTCGGCTGAAGAATACAGAACAATGATCTCATTATCTACATGCCAATCGGATCGACTCGGAGTTTTCCAGTTAAAAGGACCGATTTAAGGTGAGCTTGTGTTCACCATCAATAAACTCGAACAAGATATTTATCCAACGTCTAGCAAAATTGTTTTATTTCAGTTATAAAGTAGTCATAGATAATAGCCTGATACATCCACATTGAAATTTCCTTCTCAACGGAGAAGACATGCTGATGAACTTCCAAGATTCTTCTACCCAAATCATAATTATGCTTTCTAGTTCGAGTGCATTAATTGAACTGTTTCCGAAACGAAATTGGATTTTGTTTCTAAAAGTCATGACCACGGTGAACGGGGTTTTTCGTTCCTGGAAAAATCAATATTACAAGATGAAGGCACATACGGCTGTTCGGGGTGATGATTCGGGCACTATCACCATAGAAAGTGTAGAAATACAGTCTAAAAAGCAGCCCTTTTTGAACGCTTATGCTGGAACTTTTCTCGAGGGATGCTAGAAACGTTGCTGTTCACCTAGCTAAGTGCGAGGAAGGAGTTGGTAAGATGATGGATGATGATATGAAAATAGCATGGGCTAAAAGCACATGTGCATAGCAATTTACCCACCCGATCGAGACCTTGTAAAACTGGGAGCCACAACAGGCTGGCGAAGTTTACATAACAATCCATCTTGCCGATGATGGTAGTGGTCAATCATCTGCAAAGTAAATGCATGAAAGTGAGGAAAACCACGTAGTAGTAAATATCAGTGTTCTGCAATGAGAGTTATCTGGCGGAGTTTGGCCTCCACACTCTGCTGATGAGCAAAACGTCGTTTGCGCAACAGAAGAAAACAAATGAGTAACGACACCTATTTTTTTTAGGTAAAGCAACATTGCTTTAGTATCGTTACTGGTGTGCCAAATGATGAAGCTGTGTTTTGCGAGTTGGTGAGACCCAGAAAAGCCTAAATTGCTGCTCATGACCAGTTTGATGCACTCTGCCTAGGAAGAAGTTTACAGCTATCCTTCTCTGTAGAGACCACTTCAAGGGACCGAGAAACTTGGGTCTATTCTTCGAGGTTTCTTCCTATGAAAAATTCAAATACACTCTGAGGGCCCGTCTAAAAGCGATTGCTTCTAGCAGGCGGCCTCTCTCCGGAGTGGTCCTGGCGGCCAAAGACAACTGTATTTACGAAATTACAGTAAATTCAGGAGAAGAACCGATTCATGCGACTAACACATAAAAAGATTGGATCCCCATAGTGGTTCGTTTTCTAAAAATAAGCAACAGGAAGATCTTGTGACCAAAAGAATTGCCAGTAATATCCCGTAACGCGCGAGCCAGATAGCTTTTTCAACCTCATAATAATGAAGATATTCGCTTCCCAGATTCATGAAGCACCCACAAGTCTGTTATAAATGTAACCTTATTACACAAGCTTATCAATGGGCGGCTTCAGTGTCGCAACAACGACAGGCCCTCTAGACAAGTGAATATACGCTCACCCAATGTTTTCCAGTAGTGTTGTTACAGAATTGGAGAACTTCAGTGTTCTAAACACACCGCATAGAGATGTGTTTAGCTCCTGGACCTTAGTTTACCAATCCGGATCTAATTCAGTATCGTCAGATGCGTAAACCTTACAATCAACTGCGTGGATGAAAATTTCACAAGCCAAAAATACCTGATGACCAAATGTTGAGAAACGGGAGCTGGGTTGTCGACGCAATTTTACAGCAGTGTCAGGGAAGAACTGAACAAATTTCGACTTATTAACGAAGGCTGGTCTGGCTTTGAATGGCAAATCCTCATTAACAAATTAAAAAGTATTTTTACTAATTGAAACACTCGAGAGTCACTCGCAAACAAGAGCCAGTATGCGGTGATATATAGAGGGATAGTAGAATATGCCCGATCGATTCAGTCTGCTCTACCATCAGACAGCAAAGCTGGGTGAGATAACCTTAACCAAAATGCTCTAATCCGCATCAAATAATCTGAATTTGTCTGGTGAACGCAAGTGCTTTTTGAAATCAGGAATGTATATACCAGCATACCTCCATTAACGTTTCGAAATACTGTCCGCCTTCAATTGACCATCGGTCCAGATGTTCTTCGATTTTATAATGTTTCGGTTCGCCTTGATTGCACAGACTCAAAACGAACGATCCATCTTCTTTTCGAAAACGTACTCTGAATCAGCAGGCAAGTGAACAAAAAAACATACACTGTTCATTTTTGCTAGGTTTGGCTGTGTTTGTTTGGCCAACGTTTATATTTAGCTTAATTGAACAAACCAAACGAATCATCATGTACACTTGGGTTTTTAGAAGTTCTTTCTCTTGGGCAGCTTCAGTCACGCCATGAACATTAGGAGAACGATAACCAATGCGCGGTCCGGTTGCTCCCAGGCACTCTATCAGCCTGGATCGATAAGACAATGTAACTGGCAATGCCTTTAAGTTTTTCTACCATGCCTGTGTACATGAGGAGAATCATCCGAAATTTGGGTTACGTCAATTAACTGGATGAATTTCCGTTTTTCTGTAACGGTAGATCAACAAGATGGCAAAACCCCAACGTACAATATTGGGGGCAGATGTAAAGGCAAATGTAGTCACAGAGACCCAATTTTTACGGCTATCATGGTACTTTTGCCCTATATTGTTTTGAATGCAAGTTGTTGAATAGATTCGTTTCTCCCACCACAGTTTTATGTCATTCACTAACTGAAAAGCAGACAAAGATGAGAGAATTAGTTGCATGTGCACTGCGTACTTGCGGTCGCCACAGAAGATACATCTCGTGATCCTGTCTAGGTACGGGCAAGTTGGCTTCCTTCGGGTGGGATGGCAGCTAGGCATCGAAAGCGTGCTGCAGCTGAACCATTATTTATTATCTATTTTTCCAAGAACAGTGAAACTTTGCAGATAACCCAACAAATCGAAATTACATCCACATGCTTTGGTCAACTCCTGGTAAATATACAGTCGAGAGAAAGCGAAAAACGAGCACGGTCAGACAAAGGGGCCACCCTTCTCCTTGTCCGCAGGTTGACTCCTGGTTCACCTCAAATGAATGTTGTTCGTACACGGATGACTTCTTATCAACTGGAGATTGGCCAAAGACTTAGAACCCAAAACTGCTCCCTGTTTCGTTACCTCACTCATATATATATATATAAAAAATATTGTAAACATACATCCAACTACTCGAAAACACGCAGCTCAATCTTTCAATTTCAGGTATGCAAATGAAGACGCCCGCTTTTCAAAGACACAGTACGCTGTGCATTCATCATTTCTGGCTGTACTGCATCCAGAGATCTTATATCTATAATAACCAGAGAATGTGATAACTCGAGAAAGGCCCTGCGCTCTTAAACAGTTCAACGCATCCCTGCCGATGAAATGGGCCGATTTCCAACGTATTGTACCCACTACCAGCTAAGAGGTTTTGCTGAGTAAATCTCAGTAGTCCTGCCTAGCCGTCTACTGAGTGGACACATATTTCATTAAATTTATCACATGACAACTAACGAAGTGCACCACTGAGGTACTGGGGTCTTAGGAGCCAGTCAACGATGTATTCACAATCCAAAGGCTTCTTTTTTATGGAAGTGGTATTTCCGGTATATGAACGAAGAAAACGTTTTCACATCTGCGTGGTAGATTTCCAAATTGATTCCTGTCTATTATAACCATCAACATGGTACACAGAGCTGTCATTTTCCTAAAACACATGGTTCCACTCTACAGAAACTGCACACTCTGAATCTGATGCCTGATAACCGTTAGGTTTTTTCGAACGTCCTTCGAGTAGCCTGTGATCTTAAAGAATAGTCGCCACATCCGTCATCGTCATCTAAAGTATAACACTGGTGCTCAACAATGGTGCTTCGCTGCCCTAAAGGGAGACCACTGAACGTGTTTGGTGTTTCCTGTTCGTAACAAGGGGCTTAGTTAAGAATACGGGTATCGGTGTCTGCCACTATGGTTTACATCAAAGAATGTTTCAACACCAGGTGGTTTCATCACTCCGCAGTTATTCAAATAAAAAGATGGAAACAAGCGGTTCGGGCTTCTACGGGCCTCCAGAAGCGACGCTACCAACAGGCATTAAGCCATCACAGGCTTAAGAGACAAAATCTCACGTTTATCCGGACCGGTAAACACACAAGTGTGAACACCTTATTTTGAATCAGCTGGTTTCCGGTCACAGAAACAACACCAATATTACAAGCGGACAATAACTACCCACCTATCCACGTAAACTGAGTTGACGGGTGATTGGTGCTCGTCCACCGGCCTGCTCTCATAAATTGCACTCACGCGTTGAGAATCTGAACCTGATCACCTGGTTCACAGTCCATGATGAATGACGGAGGATATTTGGTAGGTAAACTCGCCACCGAAACGTGATGTTTCCTTGAGCGGGTTTGTGGACTCAGTTGAACTTTTTAGATAGTTCATTGCCCATTTCTTTGGAGTGTCCCCGGTTATTTCGTTTTTTTTATGGCAAGCGCCATAAAATTTAAAAGTACTCATGCTCTACACTTTGCCTTATCACTCTAGCAGTGGCTGAACAGGCACAGGAACCCAGGATGAATAAATAAGCAACAACAGATTTGCAGACCGATAAGGTCAAGAAACTTCACCATAGTCCGCTACTTAAGCCATTCTTTACTTGGATCTACTTGGGAAGAAGAGTTAGCATACTCCTTTGAGACCTAACGGACTGTCATTTAGCCCGCACATCCGTTACATCTGTTACCGTGCCGATGTCCTATAATCAGTACCAGTTTTGGAAAGGCAGTGGGTGACCTTTTGGAAAAATACTTTGACCATGTCACGCCCAATCCATTTATGGTTAAATATATATGTGAATACTAGTGATTTCTCGCATATAGACTGTAAGGTTGTGGTCCGGTTTAGTCGTTTTATGATTTTCAAAAGCGGTGGAGATCAACAATTGATGTGAAGATTGGCACTCCCTGAAAAACATAGAGTGTGCATACTGGCGGAGATCCTTCACCGGCCCAAACTGAAGATATTATGTTGGAAACGTTCTTACTTGATGATGACGAGAGCTTGATGAACCTGTTTCCTTGATGGTCTTTGATAGCTTAGTGTTCAAATCTAAAGGAACCCGAAACAACTTCTAGACAATATAAGACGTAAAATGAAGGATAATTGGCATTGGTTATCCTTCACAAGTAGCTGTGTTTAATTCCGAATAGGATACCGGGTTCGGATATATGGGGTTAGTGTAGATGGGTGCCTAACTCCGGGTGGAGAAGAACGTTTGGTGCAGTATGCACACAAGGCGATTTTGAGGAAACGGATAATTTGTACCATGCGGAAGGCCTCAGCCAGTGCAAGAGCTGAACTAGCCGAAGTTGATTAGGAGACGCCTTGTAAACGATAGAAGTGTCCTCTCTTGGCAAGATGCAACATAATTTGTCACTCAGGGGTCATACAAGTGAATTGGGTCCTACACTCCTTGTTCTAGTGGTCAATTTGTTTGAATAAGGTTGCCTAATTTATTGGGCTGGTCACTTGATCGCACTACTTAAAAACAGCAAAAAGTAGCATCATTCTGTATTCTGGGAAGTTGAAGACATTCCCTCCTTGAAACTAAAAGAGACGAAACGCCTTCTGGTGAAAACGGTTTTAGGTGCTTTAGTGAGACAAGCCTTGCTCAAGCCAGAACAAGTAATTCTATTAGACAGATCGATTACTGTATGCTCTGAAACAGTAGAAGAAAATAAAGGAATTTTCCCCATTGAAGCTAAGTGCTCATTTGGTTATAGAATTCCCAAGTTAAGTCAGCAGAAGAACCGCCAGTTACAAAGTTCAGTTGTTATCATTGCATCAGTCGCAGACAAAACCCGTTTAATACCTGAAAATGGGTGATACAAGGCCGTTAGAGGCAAGTATGACTGAGGTACCACAATTGCAACAAAGCAAAGAAGAGCATCATACTGCTGTTCCATCTTTACTGGGAACCATCGACAGTGTGCGGAACTGAAAGGAGTCGCGAACCTGCGACCTCCTAGCTAGCAGCATGAACAAAACAGTTCGGTCAGGAATGACCGATCAGCAATTTGAGTAAGTATAAGATATGGTGGAAACCATAAATATGAGCACTTATCCACCGGCTCCTGGAGTGCCGGCTTCTCATAGGGAAGTTTCACTCATCTTGTGAAATTAATTTTCCCGGGCTACTTGGAAATTGATCGCAGCGTGAGGAGCTTTGGTAATTTTCGATTGAGACTTCACCTGAAAGCAGCAAAGCCGAGAAGCACTGTACAGCTGTTTCGCCTCCTGGTTTTATATGCCAAAGAATCGACGCTGCATTCTTCAGTATGCCCCGTGGTGAATCCATTTGTCAGCTATAAATCGTGTACTATGGACACAATGGTTCTAGCTGCAGCTGTTTGGATTGGAGAAAAGTGAGGGTGTAAAATAACAGCCAAGCCTTGGAGTTGATGCCATGTTCAGTTATTTGGGAAATGGATAGCTATGCATCAAGGGCAGTGAAGCATCAGTGTTGAACACTGATGTCATGCTGTCGATGGTGATGAGGATGCATTTAAGGCGACAGCTTTGGCTCACGAGCGCAACTGACTGCGTGATTGGACCACTTCTGCCAGTGTCATTACCCATTGGTGAGTTAAGTCCCGGGGTCACCATCCATCGAGACAGCAGATGTCGACCAGACTAGGTTCACTGGCTAGTGTTTTCATACTTCGTTGCCACCTCGATTATTGATGCAACGTTTGCAATCCAAATGCCAAGCTTGGTGTACAGAGCGACAATCAATCAGCACATACGAGCTACCTATAGTTCGCAAAATTTCCAAGGTTATATACTGTCCACCTCTTGGTCGCTTCCACTAAGAACAAGGCTGGGTAAAAAGGGTTCTGTGAGAAAGATGGTCTTTTGGCATGAGACGTACGTATCCTAGCCAGCGTAGACTTCAAAGAGTGAGTAATTCATCTATCGTAAGGGGGTTCCTTCTCCCAAGGACCATCTGGCATACCTCATTATTACTAATCCAACGATCCTACAAGACCCGACTAATGCTTTTAAAACACCGGTTTACAAACACTGACATCTTGCGTGTCCTGTGCGCGTAGAGGCCACGTCTCTGACCCATAAAGCAGTGTGACTCGCACTGCTTGAGTGTAA